TTCCTCCAATCCTGACGCCACATTTTTCTTCATAGAACCCAGCTTCTCGTATTATTTGTTCAGCATACAGGTTGAATAAATATGGTGAAAGAACACAATCTTCACACACCTTTCCCAATTTTAAAACATTCAGTGTTCCCATGCTCTGTTCGAACAACTACTTCTTGGTCCACGTACAGATTTCTCAGAAGTACAATTAAGTGTTCTGGAATACTCATACTTCTCACTGTTGTCCATAGCTTGTCATGATCCACAATCGAAAGCCTTTGCAGTAAGTAGAATACTGGGAAATTCTCCTCTATCAAAATAGAAATGTTTTGGAACCTAGAGTCCTATTTGTTTATTTCCTATTTGTAAACATATGATGGAGTTTCAAAAAATTCATGGAAAGTTTAAATGAAAAGATTATGGAGAAAAAAAAAAAAAGATAATGGAGGGCTGTAAGGTTAGTCCCTATTGGGGTGCCAGGTCTAGAAGTGTTTCTGGAGCAAGAATTTCTCACTGTAGAAATAACGGCAGAAAGGGCCTTGTTGTAGGAATATATTGCAAAGGCAGAGAAGATGATGTGCCACTGTTTACAAGCACAAGAGAGAATTTTTTTAAGTCACTTTGCCGGAAACCTGAGAGAACTTTGACCATATATGGACCACCTCTGTAAGTGAGCAAAACCCAAAACTTACATAGTCTGCTTCAAGACTTCCCCAGTGTGATGGTTGTCGGTCTCACCAAAAGATAGCTAAAAGCTGACCAGGAGAACTGGCATGAAGGCAAAGAGAACATCAGAGCTGCTGTGGCAGTGGGCTGCAGGCAGGTGCAAAACCTGGAGATCGCTTCCGTGGAACCTTTCTCGAAGTCTATGAGTTTGCTAACTGAAGCAGAAGAAAAAGATGCCAGTGGCTGCACAGCTGTATGGAAGTAGGAACCAGGAGGCCCAGCAGAAAGGAGACCTCTTTGCTCAGGGGCAGAACATGGCACATCACTTGATGGAGATTGTGGCCAATGAGATGACGATGCCCACCAGATTTGCGAAAATCATTGAACAAAGCTCAGAGATGCTAACAGCACAGAGGTGTATATTAGACCCAAATATTGGATTGAGGAACAGCAAATGGGGTCATTACTATTAAGTGTTGGCAAAGGGGTCTGACAAGTAGCTAGTCATCCTGGAAATTCACTACAAGTATTGCCCCAATCCAAGTGGTGTTTGTTGGGAAGGAAATTGCCATCAATAGTGGTGGCATCTCTAGACTTCTGCAAATATGGATCTCATGAGGGCTGACATGGGAGGAGCTGTGATTATATGCTCTGCCATGGTGACAGCAGCAAAGTTCAAAGTTCCCATTAACACTATAGGTTTGGCTCCTGTTTGTAAAAACATGCCCAGCGTTAAGGCCAACAAGCAGGGAGATGTCTGCACCAATAAAGGAAAGACTATACAGGTTGACAACACTGATGCAGAGGGAAGGTTCATCCTCACCGATGTGCTCTGCTACGCACACACCTTCAGCTCAAAACTCATCAATGCTACCACCCTAATAGATGCCATGATGTAGCTTTGGAGTCTGGTGCAACAAGTGTCTTTACCAGTTCATCTTGTCAGCGAACCAGACTCTGAGGCCAGGATCAGGACAGGCGACTGGGTCTGAAAGATGCCTATCTTTGAACATTATACAAGACAAGTTGTAGATATCCAACTTGCCAGTGTCAGTGTTGTTGTTGTTATTGTTATGTGCCATGGAGTCAGTTCTGACTCAAAGCTATCCTGTACAGGGTTTCCGAGGCTGTAAATCTTTACTGGAGCAGAAAGCCTCATCTTTCTCCCGTGGAACAGCTGGTAGTTTTGAACTGCTGACCCTGAGATTAGCAGTCCGATTCGTAACCAGTGTCAATAACATTGGAAAATAACAGGTCTGCAGAGACCTGTACAGATGGTCCCTTCCTGAAGGAATTCATGGCTCATCCTAAGTGGGTTCACTTAGATATCACAGGCTTGATGACCAACAAGAATGAGGTCCTGTACTTGAGGAAAGGCATGACTGGGAGGCCCATAGGGGCACTAATTGAGTTCTTACTTAGGTTCAGTGAAAAGGAGGAGGGTACAGCTTAGCGGAGGTATGGTGTATCCTCTTCACTTTGCCTGAAACCAGGCACTGGAGCTTCAGGAAATTTTATGAATGAATGGCTAGAAAATTTATCAATGAAACAAAGGATGGTATCTAAAAATGATTCGTAACCACTACGCTACCAGAGCTCCTTATATAAGCATAGTGGTTACAAATCAGGCTGTAAACTGCAAGGTCAGCAGTTCGAAACTACCAGCTGTTCCACGGGGGAAAGATGAGGCTTTCTGCTCCCATAAAGATTTACAGCCTCAGAAACCCTGTACAGGTTCTCTATGAGTCGGAACCAGACTCCACAGCACATAACAGCAGCAGCAACATATAATCATTATAATATGGCATTGGCAAAATATATAAAGTATTCTTTATAAGGTCCAACTTTTCCATTTTCTTTTTATTCTTTTAATTTATAAAGTATAAATCCAAGCCATTCTGTGAAAAGCTGCTTTCCTGGATTAAAAATAGTAACTGTGCCAGAGTTGTTGTTCTTTCAAGCAGTCATTCATGTCACCGCAGTGATCTACAGCTTCGCAGGTATGTTATTGTCTTTGAAGTGCTTTGTACAGTATTGTGATAATTTCACTATTAGAAAGTTTGTTTTCATTACCTCTCCTCATTGGAATTTAGAAAGAGGCAGGAGAGGTGAAAGGGAATGCAGTTAGGTGGGTACTGTTACTACCTACAGTAATAAGTTAAAGACACACGAGAGGTAAAAGGGTGTGTGGTTAGGTGGGGGAGTTCCTAGGGGAATGGTATAAGTTGAAGCAAAGGAGAAGCTAAAAGAGCATGCAATTAGGTGGATACAATGGTGTGGCGCTGTGGGTTAATGCACCAGACTGCAAAACCATTTGAACTGCAAGGTCGGTGGTTCAAGCTCACCAGCTGTTCCTTGGAAACCCTATACAGGGTCACTATGGGTCGGAATTGACTCAACAGAACTTAACAACAATAAAAAATTAGTACTAAGGACATTGGTGTAACCTGGGGTACAGGATGGGTTTTGTTGTGAAAGTAGAGATATTCTGGAACAGACTTGATTGCTTGTATCACAATTTATATGAGGTTCGTGTGACTCAGAACTGACTTAAAGGTACTCAATAACAGTCACAATTTAGGATAAACATAGAAACATCACAAAACTCAGCTTATAAAGAGAAATGGGATAAGGGAGCCTATTTAGATGGATACCCAAGATTTATTGATTAATATTTTTGAAAAATTAGATTGATAGTTCTACTTATTTCCATCTATGCAACCATTATATTATAGAAATGTTGTTTCCTCTAAACAAAACTCCTTAACATATCATAATGAATTCTTAAATGTAAGGAAGAGTAACTAAGAGATAGAAATATAAATATTTTATTGCATCATTTATTGCATTATCATTTATACATTTGTTTTCGTTATCTAATGCTACTGTAACAGAAATACCACTTTAATAAATGTATTTCCTCGCAGTCTGAATTCAGGGCACCAGATCTAGGAGAAGACTTTCTCTCTGTCAGCTCTGGGGAAAGATCCTTGTCTCTTTAGCTTGTTTCCTGACTCCTAGGAGATTTTCATGGGGCTTATCATTAATCTTTCCCCATGTCTCTTTGCTAATTTGCTTATTTGATTTCTTTTATATTTTAAAATAGAATAGTTCAAGATATACCGTACACTATACTGTCTTACTAACTTAACAAACACAACTCACTCCCAAATTAGATTGTAATTACAGGCATATAGAGGCTAGGGTGTACAACACATATGTTGGGGGTGTACAGTTCAATCTATAACAGCACCTATAAAATCAGTATTAAAATTGTATATAAGCCAAAAATTAATTACCTTTAAGAATTAGAGCTACATGGAAAGAGAAAGGCTGTGTGCTGGTGGCCAGGAGGCAGGCTTGCAGAATGTGTCCTTTGGTGGTTTAAATGATTATATATTCCTGAGTATTTTTGTGTACATCTCCCCCGCCCCCCAAAAAAGCACAAAAGGGGAATAGAAGCAAATACTGGTGAATAATAACGCACAGAGGAGATTGTAATCATTGCAATGAAACGATGAATGTAAAACTGATGTTCCCCCATGTAAACTATCACTCAATTCACAATAGAAACTTAGAAAAGAGAGAGAAAGAATCAGAGCTGATTTCTAGAAATCCCACAGTAGCCAGGTGGCTAAGGAGAACCCTTAGGAAATAAATTTGTTTTTGAGATAGCCTTCCCTTAGGTTAAGTTTTATTGTCTCTTTAGACTCTCTACTGAATAGATAGCAAGCTACAGCAGTATTTTTAGTATGTTGTAGTTTTTTCCTTGTGTTTTGCCTTGGACAACCGAATATGGAAACCAAGGTAATTTTACCTAAAAAAAAGTAATATTTATCTTGTTTATGAGATTTTATTATTATTATTATTATATAATTCTTTCCAGTACTCCTTTTCGCTATCTACTTACACCTTCTATGCAAAAAAGTGTTCAAAATAAAATAAAAAGCCTTAACTGGGAAGAAATGGAAAACAGCCAGTGTATTCCCGGAATCGAGGATTCTGAGTTTTGTGTCTGTATCCCTGGAGGTGGTATCACAAAAACACTCTATGAAGAAAGGTAAGTTAAGATTGGTAAGGTGTGTATTAGATTACTTAGTCCAATATTGAAAATATTCCCATAAAACAGGAACTATATCAGACGCCATGCATTCAGGAGTAAAACTTAAATTTGGTTTTAAGAGAGTTGTCTCCTGAAAATCTATGTTTAATACTTTATTATGTGTAACATTTTAGGGATCCTGATCCTTATGTCAGACAGCTTCTACAATCAATCTTTTTTGTGTAATTTTTTTAGTAAATTGAGTGAAGGTTTATAGAGCACATTATCAGTATCACCTTCAACAACTGATACACTTTATGTCATTACAATGATTGTAATCCCTTCCTTGTACTATCATTTACCAGTATTCCCTTCACTTTAACTTTTGCACTCTTCCCTGTCTTCTGCTTAGTTTCATCTTTCCTCTGCTAAGCTCCCTCTTGTTTATATTGTTTTCCCCATCACCTAAGTTTAACATGTGTCTGCCCTCTATCCAATGAATACTTTTCCGTTTCCTCCCATTCGTTAACCATCTTAGACTTTATTTTAGCAAGAAAACCTTTTCTTAACTTTTTAAAACAATGGTCTTATACAATATTTGTCCTTTTGTGACTTTTTGCTATTGTGAATAGTGCTGCACTGAATATGGGTGTGGATATATCTATTTGTGTTACATATCTCATTTCTTGAGGATAAATAACAAGTATAGGAATTCCTAGCACGGTATTTCCAAGTTTTGTAGGAGGTTCCATAGTGTTTTCCACAGTGGTTGCACCATGTTGCAGTACCACCAGCAGTGGAGGAGGGTGCCAGTCTCTCCATACCCTTACCAGCATTTGTTGCTTTTTGTTTGTTTGTTGTTGTTGTTTTTGAACTTTACTACAAATGCTGGAGTAAGATGATATCTCATTGTTGTTTTTATATGCATTTCTATAATGGATCTTGACGTGGCACTATAGCATAAACAGTGGACTGCTAATCACAAGGTTGGCATTTCAAACCTTTGAAATCCTATGTGAATTTGCTGTGAGTCAAAACTGACTCAATAGCACTTAACAGTAGCTAATGATCATCAGTATTTCATCAGATTTGTTGGATAGCTGAACTGTCTTCTTTGGTGAAATGTCTTTTCATTTTCTCTGCCATTTTTAACTGGATTATTTGTCTTGTTGAGGTGTTGAAGTGTTCTATAAATTTTAGAGATTAGTTCCTTGTCTGATATATCATTGCCAAAAAGTTTTCTCCCAGTCTTTGGGGTCTCTTTTTACTCTTTTGGCGAAATCTTTTTATGCAAACTGTTGTTGAGTGCTTTCAAGTTGTTCTGACCTGTAGCAAAACTGTATAGAGTTTCCAAGGAGCGATTGGTGAGCTTGCACTGCTGATCTTGCGCTTAAAACTGACTTTGCAGTCCAGCTCATTAACCCACAGTGCTGTACCAGGACTCCTTTGAAATCCTAGTTTTCTAGTTGGTCTTCTGTTGTTTGTGTATTGTCAGTTATATATATATTTAATGATTAGTTTTGTTGAAAAAATATACAGTAAAACATACACCAATTTTCTATATGCACATTTAATAACATTGATTACATTCTTTGAGTTGTACAACCATTCTCATCCTCTTTTTCTGAATTTTTCTTCTCCCATTTACAAACTCACTGCCCTATAGGCTTCTACTTAGTCTTTGGAATTATTGTTGTCAGTTTGATCCCACATAGTTCTTAAAAGAGCAAAATGCTCAGGCAAACATTCTCGTTAAGCTAAACAGCTTGGTTTTAAGACTTCAGGGGATATTTTTGGGTTAAAGAGAAAAGGAAGATTTTAATACCATTTCAAGTAACTGAATATACTTCTTTAATTCTACACCCAAACATGACTTGTTTTTCTTAAAGATTAGCTAAAATGAAGACTCAAACCACATTAATAAACTTTTTGTACTAATACATTAATATAAACTGATGTCTTTTAACAGATAATGGATTTTTAGCTATGTATAACTTTGCAATATCATTTGGAAACTGTTGCTTCACCAAGTAATGCAGAGCTTCTAAAGTTGGCATATGACAATAAACAATATCAAAAGATTCACATATGCTAATGTTACCACCTCTCATCTGATGAAAGGCTGCCAAGTTCACAGTTATCCATAATCCTAATTTCTGTGTAAAAGTCATGGCAATGGTGTCAGTTTTTTTTTTTTTTTTTGTCAGTTGTTTTTGAAGTGACAATATTCATTTGAGAATACGTCTTCAAAATGCTTACATTTAAACAGCTATTGTTTATTAGGCATTCTTTCAAACAAAAATGGTCTATAAAAAGTGGCTGGGGCCTACTCAACTCAATCACACATCTGCAATTAAACTATATTTGGATGTGCAGCAAAGCACAGTAACTGTCCGTCTCATTTTGTCACGTGGATTCTAAAGAAATGTGGACTGTAGAGCCAAAACTTAATAAAAATTACCTCTTCATCAACTACATTCTTACGTGAAACTGTCATTTAAAGAAAAAAAATACAGATATGTATTTTAAATTTTGATTTAAAATGTATTAGATTTGAACTAAGATCCTAGAAATTTTACTCAATTTATTTGTACCATGAGTGCAAATGTCAATGCAGTAAAAATGGAAATTAATGTTTTAGTATTATTATTATATCTTCAAATTTTACTGTTTCACAACTACTTAAGGTTTTGATAGTTTGTGTTATCACTCATGATACTAAGTAGTTTTTAACTAACTTTTTATATCTTCCATGACCCACTGTTTGTTATTGTTGTTGTTAAGTGCCACCAAGTCAGTTCCGACCCATACGACCCTGTATAGGGTTTCCAAGGAGAAGCTGGTGATCTTGAACCACCGACTTTGCAGTTCAGACGGCTTTGCAGTCTCATATATTAGTCCACAGTGCCACACCATGATCCACTGGTAGGGCCGTATAATTTCCATGAATATAGCTATCTATCCTTTACTGATTTTTTTGCTTCATTTTATTATGGTAAGAGATGTTTTGTATGGTTTCAATACTTTAAGATTTATTGAAACTTTCTGCTGAGTCGTAGGCCATGTCTGTTGATGGTATTCAGATACTGTTTCTTCATTCACTTTCTTTCTAGTTGTTCTGTCCATCAAGCAGTAGTATATTAAAGTCTTCAACCATTTTTATACATGTATTTCTTTTAATTACAAGTGTTTTCTTTATATATTTTTAGGGTTTCAGACTGCTTGGTTAATTGATCCTTTTATTCTATAATATTGCTGTTCCTGATCACTTTTTATTAGTTTGTTTGGTGTTGTTTCTCCATGTTTTCATTTTTAACCTATGATGCCTGTCTGTCAACATAGCCAGCCAACATATGGATGGGTCACATTTAAAATCTATTCTGCTACTATGTCTAGTGACTGGATCCATTTACATTCACTATAATTACAATAGAGAAGAATTTACTTCAGTCATTTTGTCATAAATTTTTTGGCTTGATGAGGTAAATTGTTTCTTTATTCCTTTTTATCATCAGTGCTGAGTTTTTAAAACAGGTTTTCCCTATATTTTATTGAGTCTTGGTTTCCCTTCTTTACTTTGGTGAGCAGATTTATATACTTTATGACTACATCCTACATTTACAACATTATATATTGAAACCACCTTAATTTCCTTGGCATGTGAAAACTAAGTTTCTACACAAATCATTCCCTTTCTTGTTTTGATATTACCATCAATTGCAACTTTGTATCCTGGATTCCCTGTAATCACATTTTAAGTTTATTTGTATGTATTATTGTATGCATTCAGGCCATTGTTAAGTGTCAGTATTTTTATTTTTTTTTATTTTTATTAAATGTTTTTATTTTGGATTGAGTGAAAGTTTACAGGGCACATCATCAGCTTCACATTCAACCATTCCTAATAGCTTGTTTCATTACATTGATTATTATCCCCTCCATATATCATCAGTTAACAGTGTTTTTCTCTATCCTCTTTAGCTTTTTTTTTTTTTTTTTTTTTTGGGGGGGGGGGGGGTTGGGGTGCGAAAGGGACTTGCCTTTTTGGAATTTACAGTCTCGGCTTTTAGGGAAGGTTTTTACATTTGTCTGTGGATATCCAGGGCTCATGTATGAGATGACTAACAAGCATTACTGAATAATCAGATGAGGGACAGTTTGCTATGTCTATTAGGTGGCTAAAGTCTGATCTTCAGAGCCTATGGTTTGGACGGTCAACAACGCTAGGGCCCACAGGGGCTTGACCTCCTGACCGGGTCTGCATGGTCTGCATCAGATTCCCCCTTATTTATTGTTTGTTTAAGGGACGCTGCCTGTCTTAGGCGGTCAGTGCGAATTCCTCAGTCTTACCCATCATCGAAACTCATTGCAGCATGGCAATGGCTCTGTCTTAGGTTGCCGAGGTTCCGCATGATCCTTACCCGTCTCTAGCCACATGTCCAGCATAAACAGCCACCTTCCGAGGAAGGCAGGGAGGGAGGAGATCGGCTGGGGACCCCATACGCAAGACGTTGCCAGCCCACCACCTGCTCTAAGGTGACCAAGCAGGATCACTATGCTGAGGTTCAATCAAGTTCTTAGGGGATCTTACTCTCTAGCAGGGGTAGCAAATTAGTAGCCACTCAGTGCTCACTTTGAGAATTACTTATATCATAAATTTGAGCATGTAGCTGATGAATATCCACAGACAAGTGGATATTATTCCACAACCTCCTAAAATGCTGTTGGATTAAGTTCCAATCAAGTTCTGGATTACTGAAAGATAACACAAATCTACTTATACCATGAATAACCTTAGCTGGGAGTGTAATCTAGATATATTGAGTCTTATTTCCCTTAAGTGATCTTCCTTTCTCTAAAGCATTTAGTCTGTTTTGTAAACCTTTATTTATTTACTCTTGGATCGTATGAGCGAGACTAATATCCCTAGACAGTTGATTTACATGTTTTTTTTTGTTTTTTTTTTTTTTTAAATTTATTTTAACTTACACCATTTCTTACAGAGGTAAAACATGAAC